ATATAAAACTTCCCCTCTAATCCTCGGCACTCTATGTATGCTCTAACAATAAAGGCCTTGACTGTCTATTACGGTTTAGTCATACAGGCCACATGACCCGGAAAACTGTCTGAGGACAAACACCCTAACCACTGCTATAGGTAACAAAGGTGTATTCAGGGTTGGGTTACTCACAAGGCGACTGTGGACCCACAGATGAGTCCTCACTATTTAGCCTGCTCCTGGACCTCTTAGCACCAGCACTTTGAAGACTGAAGGGTGGCTCCACCTTCTCCACCTGTCAGAGCTCCAAGAGGGCTCTTCTGAGGGGTCCTCTGTACTGGTTCCAGGAGAGCCCTTCCTGTTCATCAAGGTCCTTGACCTGTGGAGTGGGTCTGGTTTATCCTTCAAGGACTTGGTGTCTGGCACCAGGTCACGGTTAATACTGGGGAGGCCTTTGTGACTGAAGCACCTTACTTCTAACCTTTTGATGTGCTTCCCCTCCCTTTGCTATGTTTACCTGTTGCTGCTTTATTTGTACTCCATTCTACGAAAGCTTCATGGTATCCCAAGTCTCATCATTATTTTTGCTTCCATCACAGATTAATAGGGCCATCCCTCTGGAAACTTTGCAAACCACTTGAGATTTTGAGTTGGAGGGTGATATAACCATGTTTTAAATAAACAAACTAAAACTCCATAATTCATTTTAGCTTAAATTAGAGTCATTGCCAAGTTCATCTCATTCCCCCCTCCCTCCCCCCCAAATCCCTGATGTCTGGGGTCTTATTTGACCCCAGTATTTCACCCTCCATGTGTAGCTGAATAAGTGAGTTCTGATCTGAGTCCTACTCGGAGTAGACCCATTGACGTTAATGGACATGGTTAACTTTGTTAGGCCTATTAATTTCAAGGGGTCTACTCTGTGTAGGAATTAGTTGGATACAGCCCAACAAGTCAATCTTCCAGCAACACAATTCCAGAGAAACATGCTTTTTAAATTAATAGATTGATCTTGTTTCTTTAATGAAGCCTTCTGATTTGTCCTTTCAGCTGATAGGAAGCCTGTATGTGTTTTGTATTTTTCATTAAGGTTCCCCCACCCCATTTCTATTTTTGTTTATTTTATAGGTTCTTTGAGGGTAGCTGATGTTTTTACCTGTTGTCATGATTTCTATGACTCCAGGGGAGAAAGCTCTTAATAATAATCTCTTGCCTGTTAGCTCCCATGAGTCTGTCTTCATTGTATAGGCTGCATATCGCAACTGTAAGAGTAGAATGTACTGAGCTTTAAACAAGTCTATTAGGCTCACCGCAGCCAAGAAGGAAAAAGAAAAAGAAACCCTTGGAAAATTGCTGAAAGGAAAGAAAAAGGCTTGGCTGGGGGGTGGGGGGAGAAGCAACAATTTTGTAAACCCTGCAAAGGTCAGAAAAAGGCTTTTGGTAAGTATGCAGAGGCTAGAAATCAAATCCCATTTCCTATCATAAGAAACCAGTTGTTTTTAGCAGCAGTGGTTAATGTACTATATGTGAAAGATTTAAGACTCGCTGGAAAAGCTTTGCTCCTGTTTTATTGGGCTGCTATTGAAAAGCCAACAGCATAACTTCAACTAGGTGCTTTGAGATTTCTTAATGGGCTGTCAAGGGCAAGACACCAGGTCTGTGCTATACTAGCTCTTTCCTGTACATTAAAACAACAGGGGCCAAAATGATCATATACAGAAGTATGAATTACTTGATGCGTTCCCTGTTCCATATGGTCCGCCGTGTCTTCGGCAATTAATCATGTTACAGAATCAGTTGAGTGCTCTCCGAAGCATTGAAGTCAACATTTTAGTTATACCTGTGCAAGGCGAAGGGTGGGGAGGTAAAAGGGGTTGCAGGCGTAAAAGTAGCAGGATGAGAAGTTTCTGGCGCCAACGTCTGAGCAGCTGGATTTTATAAACAATTTCTTTTCTTCCCCCCTCCCCTTTCCTCATCACTTCTCTGCTCTCCTCCCTTTGCTTTCTTCCACTCCACAAACACAGTACCATTTTTCAACATGGTCCCCCCTCCGCACCAAAAAAGTTGTTGAGTGAAACTTTGATATCAAGCATGACATGCTGTAAACAAAATAGGACCAGTGTTTGAGCGTAATATGTCCAAATTGCTGGGTGATAACTTAAAACATGCCAGCTACTTTCACCATAGCAATTGCCAACACGGCACCGTTACATGCTGTGTATGCCGATGAGATATACAAGCTACCATTGATATACACCATCCAAGTCCTAGCCAACATGCATGCCTTCGAGATCTCAAGTTAAATTCTACTTTTAGTTGCATCCAACTCTTGTCACGATACTGTCATTTCCCCACCATAAAGCAACTAAAACAAGCTGGACAATTAGCAGAAGGTGAATCTCACTGCTTGCAAACACATGTCTTATCCGCACCGCCATTTCTCTTTGCTATTGATTATTGGCTGTTGGACTGCTTTCCTTGAAGTGGGAAGAGCTTAGCAAGGGCTCAGAGGTTTATCCTGCTAATCTCTTTGGAAATACTAACGAGTACATTAGATCTCCTGGTGAAAACCTCATTTGTTGACAGAATAAAGCAAGACTCTGAAAACAGCCTTCTCTGCTCTGGTTTAAATCTGGAGTATTTGTTTTCCAGAACACAGGGAGAAATGAAATGTGTGGAATCATGGCACTGTTCTGCAGGAAGTGGAGTGGCTGTGACAGGAGCCCAGAGCTTTTTCTGAGCACTAAGTTAATTGATGAGAATAACGATTCTAAAAACATTGCTTGTGACTTTCCAATGGCAAGCAATGTCTTGTTATCTCTGTTGGGGCCTACTCAGGATGTGCTTTCACCAGCATAGGGAGCAGAGGAAAGATAGCTTCATCAGGTCCTAAGCATTAGCACCCTCCAAAAAGTCTCTGCTGAGAGACTGATGAGATAAAGCAGACCTGCAGGGTTTGTTTGTTTGTTCTGCTGACCTTGTGTGCCAAGCACATCTTGGGGGAAGAAGAGGGATGCCCTGAACCAAAGTTGAGTCCAGTTTTCAAATCTGAAGGCTTCACTCAACATTGGGTAAAACAAAGTTTCTGTAGACAATTATCTGTCATTAAAGATCATTACATAGACGAAGAACCCAGAGTTGACCTTTCTTTGATAGTGTGCAAAGCATTCAGAAGAAGACTCTCCCATCTTCTAGGGACAGGAGTCATACCAGTAAACTTTTTGATGGATTCCTTAAAAAAAAAAATCAGTGTTGATTTGAGGAAATGGCTTTCCCAGTTGATAACATCTTTGACTACATTTCTTGAACTCTTGACCTCTCACTGTCAGGGCACATCTTTTCACCTTCTAACCCTTTATTTAACTCAGGTTCCTAAAATGGGATGAACATTGGAAAGCCTTTAATGAACCATATTTTTTCCTCTTAGGCTTCAATCCTGCCCACGGTTTCAGCAAAAAAGTCAATTGGAATCTGTTGGGTGCAGCCATCTAATTATAGACATGGCTATTTTGGTTTTGTGTTAATTATATTATATGGACTTCATTCTTATTTTTAAGAAATTGCTTAATAGGATTAGTAAAAAAATAAGGATAGTAGGAGGGTGGGAAATAACAACAACAGCATTATTATTATTATTATTATTATTATTATTATTATTATATTGTTTTTTGATTGGGGTTGGGCAAACCCACTGAGATTTTCCCCAACTTGACTCAGGTTTTTCCCCCTGACCTCATCTCTCCCCCTTTCAAATGGGAAAATTCCAGAAAAGTCCACTAAATCCAAACTGGACCCTTCAATTTCTCCACCCCTTGAAACAAGATGATCAGTCACATGCTAGATTTTGGACTGCTTGGACTGCTTCAAGTAGGCAACTTGTTCTGACAACTTCCAGAGTAAAGTTGAGCCATGTTCAAGCCTGGACAGCTGCCATAAGCCCTATCCCATCTCAGTGAAGAATTGATCTCTGGGGGTCTCAAACTCCTTTATTTAGCAGATGTTACTCTCTTAGCGAACCTGTTGGTCTCTCAAGTCATCAAGAATAGGTGAACATGGGGTCTTGGGCATTTGGCAGTGTCATCTCCAGGTAGATATGGGAAAGACCACTGCCTGAAACCCTGGAGAGCCACTGCCAGTCAGTGTAGGCAATACTGAGTGAAATGGATCAATGTCTGATACTGTATTAAGCATCTTCCAGTGTTCCTTTCAACTATCTAAGACGTGTGCCCCACTGCACACCCACTAAGGAGTGCACTTCAGTGAATTTTGTTGGACTTAGTTCTGTGTAAAAAATGCATAGTATCTGGCCATAAGAGTGATTTATATGTTAGATTCTCTTACAGTTTTACATAGCTGTAAAATTGCTTAAAAGAGACATGCCTGTGTTTTCAACACCCGGACAGTGTTTTTCTCAATGCAAACATTATTTTGCTGAATGATTCATTTTATTAACAAAGGGAGGGAAAGAATAAGAAGCAGTTAAAAGGGAGAAGTAGGAAATCTCTATACAAATCAGCATTACAGAGATTTTCTACTTCTTCCTGTCTGTAACAGGCGAAGTTCAAGAAAAATTAAAGCGTTCCCCCCGCGATCATTAGAGGTGGGGTGGTGGTGGAGGGGAGCAGGCCTCATTCACACTTTCTAATAACAATTCACCCATACAAGGACAAAAGAAAAGCAATTCTGTCTGGCAAAAATGTGAAAATTACACCTAGAATGCCTGGTCTGTGGTATTACTTAGGGCAACGATGCTTTGAGGTTTTACCTCGCATTCCGTGTACTTTGATTAAAAACCAGATAGATGGTGGCCATTTTGGACCATCATTTACTGTATTGATTTGGGAGCTGGGGAACCGTAATAAAAAAAGAAAGAAGGGCCATTGATTTACTGTCTCTATTTGCTTATGGGCTTCTTAATTAATTTTATGCTTTGTTTCCTATTTTTGGATTGTAATGTTTATGGCCTCCCCCCCCCTTTCTGTTTTCTTCCAACCCACCCCTCTCCCTTGCTGCCCAAGACAAGCCTACTGCTCTGTGAATTCAGGAAAGAGGAACAGGCGGAGGAACAAAGGAAGGAACGAATCAGCTGCCTCCTGCCCATTCTTGAAGAGCGTCAGGAGCTACGGCAGGATTGGCTTGCAAGGTGAGGACGTGATGCAGGCGTGCCTATTTTAGGGGTCTGGCGGCACCTCAGCCCCCTCAATTTTTGTTTTAAAAGGGCCAGCCCCCCTCAAAGTTGAGGAGGTAGTAAGCCTGCTTCCGGCCCATACTGCTTTAGACTGGTGGTGGGGATGCACTTGATGGAATTCTCTATGAGAGCTGGAAAGACGTTGAAAGCTGGCATGTCCCAAGCAAGGCTAGAACTCTTCTCCTTGATGTCTAGTTTTCTAAGTGCAGAGACGTTGTTTTTATTTTCTACAGAGCAGCATTCTGAATGCGGTTCTGTTTGCCCCATCCCTGACCTGAAGTTCACCAATTGCTTTTCCCACACCCAAAAGAACTTGGCCTATTTCTCAGTTGACTTTAGCTCACCATGTGTTGATGATGGTGATGGTAGAAGGGACTAAAGGCACACTGCAGGGTTGTTGTCAGCCAAAACTTTAATTTGGGTTGCCTCTTGCATTTAAAGTGAGATTTTATTAAATACTGATTGATACTTTCCCTTCCTTTTTCTAAAAAAAAGAAAAGAAAATTTATTTGGCCATCCCTCTACTGTTGCATTTTCAAAACAAGCAGTTGTCTGCAAAACATATTTGTGTGTTGGGCCCTGCACCGTAGATACATTTTTGTGCATGAGAAAAATGAAAACAAGAATTTGACAGTTTTGGACAGCATTATATGGCTGGGAGATTGGGGCACACACAGATCTGAGCAGAAATTTGTGGGAAATGTTGTATATAAATAAACTGATATGACCCGGTAAAACAGCAGCAAAAAAGAAAAGGGGGGGGGAGCAGCAAAACATATCCAGCAAATCATCATCTTCTGTTAAATGTCTGGGAGAACTGATAAAGGTGTTGCTTTTTTTACTTGGTGCCAATAGAAGGTTAATGATGGTGTCAGGTAGATCTTACTGGAAAAGGCATTCCACAAACTGGGAGCCCCAGTGGAGGAAAACTGTGCCTTGTTTCTACCCTCCAAAACTCCCTTATAGGGAGCACCCAGAGGAGGACCTCAAAAGACGTCCAAAGAATACAGACAGGTTTATAATGGGAGAGCCACTTTGAAAGATAATTGAGGTCTGGAGCTGGGTTGGGCTTTCTATGTAAAAAAAAAAAAAGCACTTTGAATTGAGCCAGTGCATCTGTGCCTAGATTGGTGTTTCAAACTAGCAGCGAATGCCCACTTTCTGGGGACAACACCGTACCAGATGTTGGTTTCCTCAAGCCAGTTAAATGGATTCTTCTCAGGGAGCCTCTTTGTGCAGATGGGTTCTACCCACCAGATTTGAGGTTTTAGAAGTTTCGCCTTCAGTTCCACAGGGTCTGTGCACAGCAGCGAATACCTCCTCTGTTTAGACTGAGCACTGTGGGTTAGAAACGTAACAAACTAAAAATGGAAAAGTCAGGGTAGTGTGTGCACATACATATATTTTAAAGAAAACATAACAAATGTAACTCAGTGAGTGGATCAATTTAGCAGGACAAATAATCACCAAGCAGCACCGTAGGGAGATGAGGGGGAGAGGACTCCCTCTTGGAAAGAATCTAGTTACACGGTTTTCTGGCCTTTTCCCTTACAACTACCAATTTAGTCAGAAGCTGGAGCCAACAGACATAATTTAGCTTCTAGAACAAAAATGGTAAGTACTTTGCAGGCATCAGGGTGGAGAGGGGAAGGGGAGGAACAGGGGGCATGTGTGGGGAGAGACTTAGCAGCAGACGAAATGCAGGCCTCATTAAAACTAAACACCTGAAAGAAAATTTCAAGAGCATGGTGTCTTGAAAGCCTTAGAAAAGACAGTGCCCCCAGAGTATTAAATAACTGTAATCGGTTTCCCCTCTCCTCTGACTCACATTTGATGTTTCTCATCACACTGACCTATCTTAAAGAGTCCCATCCATATGATCCACATAAACAGACTGTTACCATATCCCGCACTTTTTACCTCTTCAAAGGTTTGGAGAGATGTCTGGAATGGAGGCGCTGACGATAGTAGCCGTCAAGCGTTCGCTGGGGTGGTGAAAGTTATAAAACATCCGCCAAGGCTCTGGAGGAGCAGCCCCTGTGTTTTAGAGATCAGCCTATTGTGTACTTTGGAATTACACAAGAAAAATGTGCTTCGACAGGAAATAATTAGCGCTTGTCAAAGGCCAGGCAATAGGTTATAGTATTTTACTTTCAGCAAGCCATCAGGGGATCAGCCAGATTAGATAATAGATTTTTTTCTCTCTCCTTTTCCCCTTCTCTGGAAGTTAAATACAGATGACTCTAATTACCTTACGTTGTGCATTAGAGAAGACATATTATGAACAATGCAACTTGGAGAAATTTAGGTCAAGTAGATCAGAGGGAAAACAGCCAGAGCTGGGTGGGGGGGGGGAGAGACTCTGTAAGTATTCGTGTATATTTAACGGGTTTATACAAGTACTGTAGTTTTGGCTGTGAGCTCCCTTGTAAAACTGAAAATTTGAGATGTGTGTCCCACTAAATCATATTCCTTTTCTTCCCCAGAGTTTTCACCCTATATTGTCCTGACACTCAAGTAATGGCTGTAGCCCTGAGTAGCTAATTTGTGGCCTCTCAGAAGGTGTTGAACTCTGACTCCCATCTGCCCCAGCCAGTGCGGGCAATGACTAGGGAAGACGTGAGTTGCAGTCCTGCATTGTCTAGAGAGCCACGAATTAGCCATGCCTGCTAAAGAGCAGGGTTGGCCAATGCGGTGCCCTCCAGATGTTGGACTCAACATCAACAAATCTTTATTACGGTCATAGACCAGCATTTAAAATCTAAACAGGTATTAAAACACAAGGTGAATATAAAAATCTATAAGAATTTAAAAGAAGTTAAAAGAATCCAAAATAAGGGTCAGGAACATTGGACGGGTGTGGAAGAGCACAAAAGGTTTTTTTTGTTTTTATTTTAAATTGCGGGGAAAGCCAGTGACACTAGACACCACAAGATCAAACAAAAAGAGATCAACAACAACATCAGAAAAGAAAGAAAAAAAGAAAAAAGGATTACAGAGGGGAACTTCGCAGAGTGCCGTTCAACAGAGGAGATTTGCGCTTCCTGATTACTAAAGTGCAAAATTTGGCCACCTCATATGATATTGAGCTTGAGGAATCTTCCAGAAGGTATTTTCGTAGAATTTCGGGGGAGGATTCCAAATAATGTTGTAGGGGTATAAATTTTGATAAAAGCGGCAAAATAAGTTGAGCTCGTTCTTTACTATAAAATTCGCAAAATAGAAGGATGTGTGTAACAGATTCTACCTTATTAGACATACAGGGGCAGAGACGCGCATGCATTGGTACCCGCGTGAATTTGCCATACAGCACTGCTGAGGGCATTGTCTCAAAGCGGGCTCTAGAGAAAGCCCATCTATAAGCTTCGTTAGTGATGTTAGTTAAGTAAGGGGCAGCTGCAAAATTAGGCCAAGCTTTTAAACATCTATACGACTCCGGGAGTAGGGCATCTTCTTGTTGTAATTCGACATCGTAAAGTCTCTGAGTGATAATTGCTTTTGCCTTGTTCAGAGTTCCAATAAAAAGATTTTCAGGGTTTAAGCCAATTTGTTTGATCTTGTTAGTTATTTGCATAAGCCAAGGAGGGTAGGGAACTGCGGCCAGGAAGCAAGGTAACAGTCCCTTAGGATTGTAATGGATTTTCAGCCAGAGGGATATTGCTTGCTCCCAGACTTTTAATTCCACTCTGGGCAGTCCTGCCTCTTGCCTTAAGACTACATTAGGTGTACACTTTGGGGTAGCAAATAATGATCTTAAGAATTTTGATTGTACTGTTTCAAGGGTCTTAAGGTTGGCAGAGGGGCTAATTTGAGAGCCATACAGAAGTTGGGCTAAAGATTTTGCCTGAAAAACTTTTAGGGCCATCGGGAGGAAGCCAGCTCCTTTCCTTCTGAATAATCTAAGGATGGCATTTGCACTTCTTCCTGCTGATATAGCTGATGTGGTCAGGTGTGTTGACAATTTGGCATTATAAGAGAAAGTAATGCCTAAGTATTGGAAGGTCTTAGTCTGTTCAATGGCATTTCCCTTTACGCTCCAATTATCTTTCCTGAAAGAGCGGTTAAAATGTACAATTTTGGTTTTGGCAAAGTTAATTGTTAACAGTTCAGTGTTACATTGGTCACTAAACTTTCCTAAGGCACGTTTCAGACCCACTTTGGTTTGAGAGAGAAGAACAGCGTCATCCGCATACATTAAAACTGGTACTTTTCTGCCGTTAGAGAACACGGGGGGGTGGGTTTCAATTTCACGGCAACATGTGACCAGGGAGTTAACATAGATGTTAAATAAAAATGGGGCTAAAAGGCATCCTTGTCTAACTCCTCTTTGGACTGGGATTTCTCTAGAGAGTCTGCCGTCCTGTGCGAGTCTTATCTGGAGGGTATTGTTCTCATGAAGTTTAATCATCAGAAGTAATAACCTTCTGTTAATACCCATATTGGCCAATTTGGCCCAGAGCCTATCCCTGGATACAGAATCAAATGCTGCCTTTAGGTCCACAAAGGCCGCATACAATGACTTTTTCCAATGTTTCACATACTTATAGACAAAATAATCCAGCACTAAGCAGTGATCAATGGTGGAACGTCCAGATGTAAACCCTGCTTGTTCAATTTCTAACAAGTCATTATGATCTAACCATTCACATAATTTTAGGCATAGATGTTTTGTATAAAGTTTACAGATCACATTCAGAAGACTAATTGGTCTATAATTAGATGGATCAGAAGGGTTGCCCTTTTTAAATATAGGAACAATTATAGCCAGTCCCCAATCTTTAGGGATTTCAGTTGTCTTATCTATATATGAAAATAGATTTGCAAGAACCGGGGCCCACCAGTTTATTTGCGCTTTCAGAAGTTCAGCGACAATGAAATCACTTCCTGGGGCTTTGCCAGATTTCATTTGTAGAATTAACGAAGTGATTTCAGTTTCAGATGTTGGGGGCCATGGT